AAAACCAACACAACAAGCTTCTCCAGGAGACTGAGCAGTGCAGCAGCATCCCCTCTGGAGCCAGGGAGCAATGCTCAAGGTGACGACCGGAACTCCCTCTAAGTGAACTGCAGCCATCCTCAGTGACTACAAAGTCCCAAGCTCCTCTGATGGTGAGAACAACCAAGTTCCCCAGGAAAGCCAGCATAACAAGGTGCTCCAGCATAATATCCCAAGAGAACAAGCAGCTTACAACAGCTCCCCAACAGCTTCTCCAAACAGCTTCCTTAATAGCGTCCTAGCAGGTTCTCTATTTCTGCCTCTGTGATGCTAGCAACAATAATCAGGTGGGTCTCCAACACCCAGAACCACACTAGTTCAGTTCATCTGGGTGTAACAAGTTGACCACCAGTTGGAAATCCACCACATAGTGGCTAATAAATGCATTAAAAATCCTTGATGGTTCTTGTAAACTGGGGTTAGGTACCCAGCAAAATAAAGGACAGCCCACTTTTGGAAATGGCCCAAAGCATCCCCCTTTTCATCCAAGAGTAGGGGAATAAAGCTGTACAACTATTTCTCCTGAAGTCTGCTGACCTTTCTGAGGTCCCCTCACATTTGTAATGGCAGCTGGGATATACTAAGTGTGTACATCCGGGTTATCGGAAAGAGTTTTTGCTCTGCCTGCTGCCTTCCAGTTACATAGATGATTTCTCCCAGTACTCCCAGCTATCCTCCAAGAATGTGAAGATGCTATTGATAAAGAGAGGGAAAGGACATTTGTTCTGAATGGTAGAAATTTTTGAGCAAGAAACCTCTACATGTCTGGTAGTGCAGGGATTCAGCAAAGCCTCCTTAGTGGGTAGATGAAGTGGTATATATACCTGAGGTCATACCCTGGGCAGGAGATTTGGGGGATAGGGGGCTGAGTTGCCAGAGTGGATACCTGCTTTCTCCAGAGTCTGCTTACACTCTCCTATTATGGTCACCTTGACAAGCAGTACCAATATGTAGTAGTTTAAAACCTTCACTAAGCTCCTGATATACAAAGGATCAATCTTAGTGTACAAAAGATATCAAGATTGGAATTAATATGTTAAATAAGGCTAGGTTGTGGAGGCCTAGCTACCACAGCCCTATTTTATGTGCTGACATACTTACCTCATCTGAGCCTGTTGCCCCAGATTGAAAACCCAAGGGCTTTTAGCCCTGCCATTTGCCTTGAACCTATGACCTTGACCAAAATTTATATGGGTTTTAATTTGAGAGCTGATAGTTCCTCCCATGTCATCGAGCCTTAAAATTCACATGTCCACTCCTGAGCACTTTATCTTTGCACTAGTCTCATTTTATATATCCTTTCACTCGCCAGACTGAGAAAGGACTTGGGTTTTAGACCTAATTAAAAGAGATTGTATTGCCTTCCCTTTCTTGTTCATTTTCTCTTATACACAGGCAGCTTTTTATTCTCATGCTAAGTCCTGTCCCTGGACGTCTAGAGCTTAAGGAACAGGCCAGAGCAGAATTCCTATGAAACAGAGAGGCAGACCCTCTTCCACCTATTTTACCAGGCAGCTCTTCCCTGTGGAACTCATCTCTGACTCAGTTTCCTCTATTTATACCATAGAACACTGTCACATAGACTGCATATTCACATGCCATAGTACTGTTCCTTCCATATTTCAAGTTGCATTCCAGCACAGGATAACTTTATGTTTTTACTTTGGTGGAAAGGTGTAGATTATGATGTTAAACCATGTAAAAAATTCTTTTTGGCACTTTTTTTCTTTGCCATCACTTCTATGTTCATACAACTGTGGTGTTTTTGGAGTGGGGAGGTGTCCTCAAATACACAAAATTTGTGTAAAGTTCTGCATTGCTGTAGAATTGAGAGGGTTGGAGTTTTCAGGGGAGAGAGGCTAGTTCTTGTGTGTTTTCTTTTTTTTTTTTTTGAATAGCCCAAATGCCTATTCAGTGCCAATCTAGGAAAGAATAGATTTAGCATTTTCACACCATTCCTTCCTATACAGTCATTGAATAACCATCTAATCAAGATTTGTTTTCAATAGGGAATAAATCTTCTACAGTAGAGTATTTCAAATTTATTCCATTGGAATCTATACATTAATGCCCATTGGATGAAAAGGCCATGTTCACAAAAGCCTGGACTTTGTCTTGCTGTGGCAGAAACATTTTCCCACTGTATTAGTGTTAAAAATAAAAGAAAGCCTGGGAAAGGAATTGCCTCCGCATTGTGCCCTGCAAGAACGAGATGTGCTTGAATGGAAAGGCAGAGTCCCCATTGCATCTGTACTCATATCAGCAGAAAAACGATTCAGCTTTTCACTGCTATGGGGCCAGTATACTTAGGGAGAAGTGCAAGGATTATTGTGTAAAAATCCAACTAGCCTTATTAGGACAGATTGTATATGTGTGTAGGTTGTATTTCTCTATGGCTGTAAATGAAGTTACTAATGTAACTTGGATTATTTAGAAAATAATCTAATTGTTTAGATGGAATAAATGTGGAATTCAATGTGGTTAAACAAGTAGTTTGAGTGTTTCTCACGCCACTGGATATGTGTATGTATGTATGTGTGTAGTGTGTTTACATGAGTGTTTGTGTGATATGATACCTTTTGATGCTGGCCATTTCTTATCTCTGAAGCATCTCTATCATAACTTTCAGTGCCTTTTTTTGCTGAGAATAAGGATGGCCCTAGATATTTTAACATTTTAGGTTTCATTCCTCAGAAATGTACTGTGTGCAGAGAAAGGAACATGAAAAAGCATAGACTCTAATCCCAGCCTTGCCACTTGTGAGCTGTGTAAAATCTCAGGAAACTAAGTGCTTTGAGAGGCCCAACTTCTTTTTATGTCAAATGGGAATAATAAGATCTGTCCTGGAGACATAGGATTGTAGTAAAAGTAAATGAAATGTTACATGTGAGAGAATTCTGTACATTGTAAAATGTTATCATGAGAACTGTAATAGAGATGCTTCCTAAAATTTTCTAAGAGAAGATAACTGTTTGATTGGTGCTATGATCAAATGTGTGTTTCACCTGAGTAGAAAAAAGCTATTAAAATTAGTAAGTCCATCCTATCCAGGAATGATGATTGCACTACCATCTGTTTACACCAAGTTTTACTGTTTATTGTATTACTTAAAGCAACATAAAGAATGTATTTAGTGACAGCAAAAGTATATTTAGAAAACTATACTTTTTTGCTGTATTTCTTGCATTATTTAATCTTTAAAAGTTAGATGTTAGTGCCACAAGCCCTAGAAATAAAAACCCTGCCAAGTCCTGGGTAGGTACAGAAGTAGCTGGAGAAAGTACTATACAAACTTTTAACACAGCTTTACAACAAATGTACAGACACCTTCAGGGCCAAAGTATGTAAAATAGTGAAGCCTGGGTTCAAATGCCAGCTTTTCTACCAGTTACTTATATACTCATGAGCATGTTCTCAGTTTCTCTGGCCTCAGTTTCCTCATCTATAAAATGGGGATAGTAATAGTAACAATAAAATTGCTATGAAGATTAAGTAAAATCCATAAAATGCTATGATAGTGCTTGATACAGGTAAGCTCTAAAAAAATGAGTTGGCCCTTGTTTTTACTGTACATGCATGTGGAACTCAGCAAGAATTTAGAATTTCATCTGTTGACGGAATGCCTGAACATCCCTTCCCAGGTTACTGCTGCCTTCCTCTGGGGCCATATTTTGTAAGGCAATTATAGGAAAATCATTATGATTCTTGATCTGGCAAGGAAAATTTTTTATGTAAGTGAAAGAGATAGAAACTATATCCTAGAATAACATTTTAGCTATGTGACAGACCCCACAAAGGTGGGAAGAAGGGATTATCTCACATAAGTTAATGTAAATTGTATCACTGAATGTGAACCCAGAGCTTGTAGGCATTTATTAAATTAAATTCTCTCAGCATAAGGGTGACCACGTGAAGCAAGACAGAAAAGCTACTGGTCTGTACTTCCCTAAGCAGGTCTTTCATCATCAAGTCCCCTGTTTTGTTTCTCAATATGGATCCAAATATTACTAAAATTACCCTTTAGCTGCACAGCTTAACATACAGGGGTAGCAGTGGATGAGGGTAGCAGTGGGTCAGGTACCACATGGCTGGCTGTTACCTTCCTCCTGGGAGTTGTTTCATAGCCACCCACAGCAGGTACATAGAGCACCCTGATAGCTAGAGTAAATGTGTATTCTACTCATGGTTTCCTCCTGTTTTCCTGGCCTAACAAACAGTAATTCTCTTCACTCTTAGAGTGGCCAATTTGAATACTAGTACACTAGTCTTACAGCTCTGACCTTTTAAACTTTTCTCCTTCTTTAAACCTGACATCACTTGCATCACATACAACCATCCTAGTAGTGCTCAAACAGGTTGTGAGAGGCGACTCAGAAAGCAGCCAGTGAATCCCCCTTTCACTAGCGGATTGCATTCTCACCTATTCTGTCATCTGGATGGTGGCCACTGGCAGACATCTTGGTCTAGTTCAATTTTCCTAGAATTTCTGAATATACAGTGTGAGTTATGGCAATATGCTATATATTCTTACTAGAAAGGGAATTTATTTCTTAACTATGAATATTGTTGCTCTCTTTGAATAAAATAAGGAAGTTTCATAAACTAAGGGAAATGTACACTTTCTCAAAGACTTGGGCCAAGATATTTAAAGTGGAGATAGTATTCCCTGAGAACAAGTCTCCCGTTGCCTTTCAAGTCTGCTTTGCTGAAATTGTAGGAATAGCAGGCAGATGACCCATATGGCATTACTTTCGACTGACACCTTCAACTGAAGCTCTGGGAATTCCATATCCAAAAGACCTGGGACACTAGGGTGGGAATTGAAGTCTGGATGTCCCTCTCCCCACCTGTATCTGCAAAGAGGGCGCTGGTAGTTTTACTGCCATGAGACCTCCTGTTAGGAAAGCAGTCAACTAGATCTGATCCCTGCCCTGTTTTTTGTCTGACTTGCTGCACTGCAGGTGACATCAGTTGCAAGGGGATGACCGAGCGCATTCACAGCATCAACCTTCACAACTTCAGCAATTCCGTGCTCGAGACCCTCAACGAGCAGCGCAACCGTGGCCACTTCTGTGACGTGACGGTGCGCATCCACGGGAGCATGCTGCGCGCACACCGCTGCGTGCTGGCAGCAGGCAGTCCCTTCTTTCAGGACAAGCTGCTACTGGGCTACAGCGACATTGAGATCCCGTCGGTGGTGTCAGTGCAGTCAGTACAAAAGCTCATTGACTTCATGTACAGTGGCGTGCTGCGCGTGTCGCAGTCAGAAGCCCTACAGATCCTCACGGCCGCCAGCATCCTGCAGATCAAAACCGTCATAGATGAGTGCACACGTATAGTGTCACAGAATGTGGGTGATGTGTTCCCGGGCATCCAGGACTCCAGCCAGGACACACCGCGGGGCACTCCTGAGTCAGGCACGTCAGGCCAGAGCAGTGACACAGAATCGGGCTACCTTCAGAGCCACCCACAGCATAGTGTAGACAGAATCTACTCAGCACTCTATGCTTGCTCAATGCAGAATGGCAGTGGTGAGCGCTCCTTCTACAGTGGTGCGGTGGTCAGCCATCACGAGACTGCACTCAGCCTGCCCCGTGACCACCACATGGAAGACCCCAACTGGATCACCCGCATCCATGAGCGTTCGCAGATGGAGCGCTACATGTCCACCACCCCTGAGACCACACACTGCCGCAAGCAGCCCAGGCCCGTGCGTATCCAGACCCTGATGGGCAACATCCACATCAAACAGGAGATGGAGGATGATTATGACTACTACGGGCAGCAAAGGGTGCAGATCCTGGAGCGCAATGAATCTGAGGAGTGCACAGAAGACACTGACCAGGCTGAAGGCACCGAGAGCGAGCCCAAAGGTGAAAGCTTCGATTCAGGTGTCAGCTCTTCTATAGGCACTGAACCTGACTCAGTGGAACAACAGTTTGGGCCTGGAACAACACGGGAAGGCCAGGCAGAACCCACTCAACCAGAGCAGGCTGCTGAAGCCCCTGCTGAGGGCAGCACACAGCCAAACCAGCTAGAAACAGGTGCCTCCTCTCCAGAGAGAAGCAATGAGGTAGAAATGGACAACACCGTCATCACTGTCAGCAACAGCTCAGATAAGAGTATCCTGCAACAGCCTTCAGTCAACACATCTGTTGGGCAGCCATTGCCAAGTACCCAGCTCTACTTACGCCAGACAGAAACCCTCACCAGCAACCTGAGAATGCCTCTGACCTTGACCAGCAACACACAGGTCATTGGCACAGCTGGCAACACCTACCTGCCAGCCCTCTTCACTACCCAGCCTGCAGGCAGTGGTCCCAAGCCTTTTCTCTTCAGTCTGCCACAGCCCCTGGCAGGCCAGCAAACCCAGTTTGTGACAGTATCCCAGCCCGGCCTGTCAACCTTTACTGCACAGCTGCCAGCGCCACAGCCCCTGGCCTCTTCTGCAGGCCACAGCACAGCCAGTGGGCAAGGTGAAAAAAAGCCTTATGAGTGCACTCTCTGCAACAAGACTTTCACCGCCAAACAGAACTACGTCAAGCACATGTTTGTACATACAGGTGAGTATAGGCTTCTAGAGAGGCCTGGCAGCAGGGGGTGGAAAGGGCTTGGAGGAAAGAAAGAACAGAAGGGAAGGTTGAGAGTCACCTTTCAGATTTTAGAGAAACTGCACTCCAAAGCATCTTCTAGAAATCCTAGGTGTGCCAGAGTCATACAAATGAAGGACCCTGCCACTGAAATATGAAATCAAAGAAACCCTTTATGGAAAAGGGATTTCCCAGGGATGTGCAGCCTGCGGAAGAAGAGAGTCAGGAACTCATACAGGCCATATCCAAGTACTTGACGTTCAGAGGAGCGTAATGCAGTAGTTGTGAGCTTGAGCTCTCAGCACCACAGTACCTGCCTGGGTTCTGTGAAACCAGATTACTTGGTTTGAATTCAAGCTTAGCCATAACCAAACATTGTCACCCTGAGAAAATCAATTTTTGTATTCTTCAGTTTCCTTGTTCAGAAAATGAGAATACCTTCTTTATAATGCATGCGTGAAGTTCCTAGAAGAGTTTCTAGCACATAATACACATGGTATTATGGTAGATATTATTGACATTACAAAGATGGCTGAGAGGAAGATTATAGAACTGGATTATAGAATTAATACATTACATATTTTTGTCTTCATAGTGGTTATTCATAGTACAAGAGGCAGACATGATATCCTGTCCAAACACTATTAGTACAAATCTTTCTTCTCATTAAATTAAGAGAAAGTAGCTATATATCTATCCTAACTTTTGTATATACAGATGAAAAATGGTCCTTCCTTTGTATCCCCTTTTTTTGTTTAGTTTTGTCAGAGATGGGTATTCCATTGCCGTTTAAGTATTGTAGGTGCGTGAATTCAGCAAAATAATCCAAACAGTCCACTAGTCCATAATAGTAGTGGGTTATCCATAGGACCGGCAATGTCAGAAGTTGTTGACTTTTACAGCTCAGCATATTAATATGGCTTTGCTTTTTATACTTCATATTTCTACTTTTCTGGTGGATGGTTAAGATCAACATCAAGCAACACCTATATAATAAGAAATGTAACTTTTGTATTTGACAAGGTCAGTCAGATCCCCTCAGGATTTACCCTGAAACCCTGTACTGCAGTTTGTAGATCCTTTGTCAATGTCAGCCATGTGGATGAGTCACAGCCATTGTTTAACCAATTTGCTCTCTGTAAAAACCTGAGAGAATGTTTTCTCTCCATGTGACTCTCCTTAGGCACACTCTACATCATCGATCACTTTCCTCTGTGGCCCCCATAATCTCCTTGATCAGAAAATTTGGGACACAACTGAGTTACAGGATATTACAGTACAGGTTCTCCCATGTCCTGAGTCCTCACTGACCTTGAAAGGCTAGGGCCAAAATGTTGGCTTAAAGACAGAATGAATGATCATTTCATAGGACTGATGTAGTAGAGGCCATTCAATCATCAAGATGAGTGTTTCCCTAGATTTTATAATTCCAGAGCTAAGGTTTCCTGCCTCTCAGGCAGTACTTTTTCCTAGTTCCCTCATGGGATAGATATAGAAGTGGGAATGCTATGTGTGTACCTCCCTATGAATGACCATCTGTACACATATGGCTAATATTTCACATAGATTCTCTGTACCTAGAATGCTTACCACAGTCACAATAATCATAGCTGCAATTCTTATGAGAATTCCCTCTTCTGTTAAACCTGTGGTTCCAGATACTCCTATTAAATAACAAGTACTTTGCCAGATAAAAGTTAAATTCCAATACGTGAAAGCAATTCATTTCTTAAAGCAGCCTGTTTCTTAGCTGAAACTGTTGTGAGCCTGAGATAAGACATGACACATGTATGTTTAAGTGGAGGAAGAGAAGACTACCAGTAGATTTAGAGACAAAATGTGCAGCATTGAAGCGAAGAACTGAAATAGCACTTTATATAAAATGAACTTTGTCTTCTTTGCAGTCTAGCTTAGGTCAACACATTATGTAAGTCAATTTATGTGTCTTTATACAGATCAGTCAATCACACTTAAAGATTATAAATTTCATACCTCCAAACAAACATAGAGACTCACTACTGAATTTAGAAAGACAGGTAGTTGTGAGTCACTGTATTATGTGAAGCACATGTGAATGCAGTAATAACCAGAGATCAGTCAAGGGAAGTTAATCAACTAGCAATATTTTATTATATAGCAACATATGGCAGAGTGCTCTCTAGTGCTTTATGTCGTTTCTTCCTCTGCATAGCAGTTATAAGACCTCAGATTAAGGGTTAGTACAAAAAAGAGACCATTTGTGGAAGTATCTCGTTATCCAAAGTTGACTTTGCTGGTCTTGGATCTGTAAACATCTGTTATCTTCTTCAGTCCATCTTTTCAGGAGAACGATCAGATACAAAATTCACACATTTTATTAGCAACATATTGAAATAGTGCTTAAAATTTGCAGCATTAAATGTTCATTCTATTACCAAAAATTGCCTTTTTTGTTGCATTTGCCCAATGGACTAATCATAGGATTCTGTAGTCAACCTGTTCGGAAACCAGAAATAGATTTGCACACTTAGACATAATAGATGCAAACAGCTATAGGTAACGTCACTTAATGTAATGAGTTATGCTGAATTATGGTCTTCAGAATGCTAGCAAACTATGAAGGTGTTTGCACTAGTATTGATAATATGTCCCACATCTAGAAATAATTAATCTTGTATACATATCAGCTGGGCAACACAATTTTAAAAAGCAACACTCTCTTCCCTTTCATTCTAGAATTACTGTGCAATGGTAGTTTGGGAAGACCATTTGTCTTTTAAGCCATTTGTATAACTAGAAGAGTCTCTAACACAGCAAAGTTTAAGAAAAATTGGTCAAGTTTTCAAGAGGCAAGGTAGCTTGAACATGTGGAGGTAATTAGGAATCCCAATTCAATGTGGTCCATGTTTCTAAAGTTCTCTCTACTTTTTTAGTAAAACATCAAAAAAAAGTGGGGCATCCAAACTTTACAGGAGTCCAATGTTATTTCCAATGACAAAAATCCAGAGGCAAGGTTCAAATGTTAGTATTCAAACTATTCTGGAAAGTACTGAGGGTACTTGGAAGAGCAGAGGTGGACTTGATGTTCTTACCCATAGTCTATCTGAAAAGAATCCTATCAAGAAAGTAATTATCATTATTACTTTCACAACCTCCAACTAGGAAATATTGAGTTTCTTTACTCAATATCTTATCTCCAAATATGCACTTTGAAAAATGTTTCCTTCCTCTATAGGCTTTATGCTAAATCATTGTGATCCTCCTTGGGCTGTTTGCATTTCCTTCATAACAATTACTTTTTTATTTCTTAACAATTTTTATGGGTCATGGATATAGCTTAGTGGCATAAGCATCAGCCTGGCAAGTGCAAAGTCCTAAGTTTGATCCCTGGTACAAAAAAAAAAATGTTTATAAAGTAAAAGAAATTTTTCTCACCTAGTCATTCTTCATATACTTCCAAACAAGCCACAGTAGGACTTCTTTATCTTGCAGAATTTTTCATAACATATACAGTAGTTTCCTAAGAGTTGTGCAGAAGGAAACCATGAGTTTAGGACATGCCTGACCACAAAGGAGTTAAGAGAAAAACAAAAATAGCACAAACCACCCTGGTATGGAAGGCATGGAACAAAGAAGTCCCTTCCATACCTCTCCAGTCAAGGGGAAAAAACAGATCGGAATAGAAAAGAAAGGGTAGGAGACAAGAAAAGAAAGGGTAGGGGATATTAGAAGGGTAGGCACTGGATAACTCATATAGATATTAAAGCAAAGCATTGGGAAAATTCAAATATAACCATAGAGCAGTGTGATCCCCATAAAGGAGGTGCAGGTTCTTTCCCTGATCCCTGCCACACAGCCTTTGGCAGAACTTTTCATGAAGCTCAGCAACCTGTGCTGTAATAAGCTCTGATTCATTCTCTTTTTTGCCATAATTTTATTGATAAACAAATAGGAATGAGACAGTTCAAATCAAATCGGTAGGACAGTTTCAATAATTAACACACTGCATACATTCTTCTTAGTAGTTAATTGCTGTACAAGATGTGGACTTGATATCCTATTTACAAACAGCATTAGAACAAATCCCTCTATTCATTAAGAGAATGTAACTGTATATCTATCCTAACCACTTTGAATACACAGATACAAAATGGACATTCATCTGTATACCCTTTTTTTGTTAAGTTCCATTATTTGAATAGTATAGGTGTGTAAACTCAGCAAAATATTCTAAAAGAGTCCAGTAGCCCATAATAGTATTGGGTTTTCCGTTTAACTGGCAATGTCAGAAATTGTTGACCTGAGTCCCCCACAGCTCAACATAACAGCATGGCTTTACTTCTTATATCTGACTCATTCTGATGTTGAGAATTGCTACTTAGAGAGCTGAGCCTGGATAATTAGAACGACATCAGGTTGCTTTTCCTGTATAACTTTGTTTCCTAAAATTGCACTAACATGAGTCTGTTAGTTTGAAAAACTAAATCAGGGTTATGGACAAAAGTTTGATTATGTAGTGGTTAAATTATATTATAGAAGCTGTCTCTCAACTAGGAGCAGAGAGCTGTCTTCCAGACTATATAGATACCACAACAAATGCACCCCTGTACTGACTAGTACAGCACTGACTTGTGTTATCACATGTGGTCATCCACACACCTTCCCATTGGAATGCGCAGTCTGAAAGAGCAGAAACATGCATATAAATTTATGCCATGCATCAGTATACAGAACATACAATACTTTACAAATAGTAAATATCCAATCATATTTAATCAATGACCAAACCATATCCTTCCACAGTGGAGTCTAACCACTTCCTAAGGATAACTCGTTTATTTTGTGATATAGCTCCACAGAGATATTTATTTTCTCCACAGACCTGAATGTGTTACAAATACCAGATTTTGTTACTTTGCTCTATATAAAAAAATATCACTCATAATAATCGGAATGATCAGGATGGCTCCGGGGTATCTATTAACCTCCAAATG